GTAATGAAAGACAGGAAACAAAGGAGCTGCCTTAAATTCAGGAAGTAGTGGAGCTGTGCATAGAGCCCATTAGGTCTGATGTCCCTAAAATGAGGCAGAGAATAGCTGTGTCATCAGAAAATTTGAACACATAGTTGTTTGGTGTATTACAATTGCAGTAGTTGGTATATAAGGTGAACAGAAAAGGTGAACTGACACACCCCTGGGGAGCACCAGTACTGATGCTAAGAAGATCAGATTAGGTCCTGTTCACCCTAACTGGCAGAAAATGACTAATAAGGAATGAGTGAAACCATCTGATAATATATGGATTGACATTCATGTTTTTCATTGTAGACAGAAGAACGTGAGGCTGGAGAGTATTAAAGGACCAACTAAAATCAACAAAAAGCAGTCTAGCATAAGCCTGGGGGTTTTCTAGATGTTTAGCCACTAGATGCACTATGCCGTTGCAAGCATCAACAGTGCCTTTCCCACATTTATAAGCAAATTGGTCAAGATCGAGTTGTGGAGCCACATCCGATCTTCAATAATTTGCCACCAGTTTTTCAAGACACTTCATTACAGCAGATGCCAAGGCAATGGGTTTTTGTTCTCTTGTGGGCAGTGCTTTTTGGCAACAGGTAAAATAATTGCCCTCTTCCACATAGATGGTACAGTATGAGTATCAATGGATCTCTGAAAATTGGTCTCCAAACGTGTCAATTCACCTGCAAAAGTTCTTAGTAAGAATCGGAAATACCATCTGGACCTGTGGCCTTATTGACATTAACCTGCTGGAACATCTTATTGACGCTAACGTGATCAAAATCAATCCTGTCCTGTGGCACCATGTCACAAAGTATCGGGTCATTTTCAGCAGAAAAATCATGATTATCAAACTGTCCATAAAAGGCATTCAGTTCATTTGCTTTTACCAGATCATACACAGCATAAATTACTGTGAAGGTTTCATGTCAACAGCCAGTTTCATAGAATTCCACAAGTCTTGAGTTCATTGATATCAAATTTTCCTCAATAGCCTTCTTATGATCTTCTTTTGCTTTTTTAACCTCTGATTTAGCTCCTTTTGTATAGATTTTATTTGTAAGAGATCATTGTTCTTAAAAGCTTGTTTTTTCCCCATAAATGCAGTCTTAAACTTCCCTTGTGATATAAGGCTTGTTATTGGGGTACATTTTTTTTTTGTTGGTATCACAATGTCAACACAGATTTTAATATAATCTGTGATTACATCTGGGGCAGTGTCGAAAATTTTGCTCCTCAAAGAATATTTTCCAATCTGTAGATAAACAGCCTTTCAATGTTTCTATGCTGTCATCAGACCAGATATGAACCGTTTTAATTTGGGGTTTCCTGCTTTTAAGGGCAGTTTTGTATGTGGGGATCAGATGAATAACATTTTGATCAGAGCTGGATAAAGGTGGTTTGGCTGTGGCTATATAAGCATGTTTTATGTTACCGTAACACTTATCTAGTGTGTGACTTTGTCTAGTAGCACAGTCAATATATTGTTTAAATCCCGGTAGTGCAACCATAGAAGGTGATTGCTAGAGAAGCTGGTGGTTCTGAGGGTCTATTCATAGAAAGTCGAGTGGAAGGAAAAAGTTTGGGCAGATCATGTGCATCAGGGAGAACTGCAGCTTTAGAGGACTGTCCAATAAAACTCATTTCAGAATTTGGATTAATGTCTGAGACTCCCAGCTTAAAGTTCTTGGTGATCTAGAACAAAAATTTACGTTATCCTGCGTCAGATCTGTTAAGATGCTACCAGTAAACCAACATGTTACATTCATAATTGACCAGAAAAACTGCACAAAAAACAAAACCCAAAAATGTTTTTAAGATGATGAATTTTTTAAATGATTGAATTTAGACTTGATCACTGCTCCTCAATGGTAACTTGCATTAAAAAGTTTAAAAACTGCAAAAACTAAAACAAATCTGCAAAGTTTACAACTTTTTTTATGTTGTAGCAGAAAAACTTCAAAGTTCAAATAACACTGACAGGATAAAAATCATAAATTGTTCCAACATAAGAAAACATAGTACAGCTCCACCTTTAGGAGATTCTAGTTCTGCAATCAGCTGAAGGTCACCTGCTAATTATTTTACTAAATACTTCTGATGAATCAGTCAGTTGAAATCATCTGAGATGGGCGGCTTTATTTCTATGACATTTGTAAAAAAAAAAAACAAAAAAAAACAAACACATTTTCTCTATTTACACAGTTTAATAAGAAATAACTGAAAACATCTGGATCTGAGCTCCAGACTGATGTGGAACCTTCAGACCAGGTGAACAGAACCAGCCTGGGACAGCTTCAGATAAGAACCATCAATGGTGCAGATATCTGAACCTGAAACTGTTTAAAACACATCCAGTAAAAGATTGGAGGGGGGGCAAAAAGTAAACAAATGTTTAAAAAGGGGGAGGTCAGTCGTTTCCTCTTCGGCTTTTCTTGTGGCTCTTCTTGGAGCTCCTGTGAGGATGAGAGCAAACAGAACTTCTTCATCAAACAGAACTGTGAATATAAAACAGGATCCTACTGTTTGAATGGGAAAGAAACTAAGTCTACTGGAAAAATTAAGAACTTTTAAATCTGTGACTAAAGATCCGGTTAGATTTAACCCCTTAGATCTAATCTGATTCACTTCCATCTGGACTCTGATCTTTAAAGGGAAAAAAGGATGAATTTGTTGAAACCCAGAGGAAATGTGACCAAAGACTGCATGCTTCTACACTGGCACAGCAAAACATCCTTTAGCGTAGCTCCATGGACTCACCTCTCTGGGGTCTTGGAATGGCTGCGATGTCTGTGACTCCTGTGGTGACCTGATAAAGATGCAAACGCTTCCAATTAGATTCGTTTCCCATAAATTGTTGCTAAATGTCTGAATTCAAACATTTAGAACAGCAGCAGATTTAAAACATGAAGCAGATAAAGGTGAACTGCAGTCATTGTTAAAGAAAGTACACCCCGTGTCTGTCTAAGGTCAGGAGGATATGAGGTCAGCAGAGAGTGGTGATCCAATCACTGATCATCTACTCCTTTAAACCTGCAGGTTTCTGTTTTCACAACATCAAGGCAGAAAGACCTCAGCAATGAGGGGCGACTTTAAGCAACCAGCCATCTAGAAGCTTCCAAGGTCCAAACTCAGTTTAAATGAGAGACAAATAAACCATAGATGTCCTGCAGAGATGTAGAACTGAAAAGCTCTGATGTGTCAACAAGCTGCCTCATTTCTGGCATTGGGGGCGGGGCTAAACTGAAGGCCTCCTCTGCCTGCAGTTAANAAAAACAAACACATTTTCTCTATTTACACAGTTTAATAAGAAATAACTGAAAACATCTGGATCTGAGCTCCAGACTGATGTGGAACCTTCAGACCAGGTGAACAGAACCAGCCTGGGACAGCTTCAGATAAGAACCATCAATGGTGCAGATATCTGAACCTGAAACTGTTTAAAACACATCCAGTAAAAGATTGGAGGGGGGGCAAAAAGTAAACAAATGTTTAAAAAGGGGGAGGTCAGTCGTTTCCTCTTCGGCTTTTCTTGTGGCTCTTCTTGGAGCTCCTGTGAGGATGAGAGCAAACAGAACTTCTTCATCAAACAGAACTGTGAATATAAAACAGGATCCTACTGTTTGAATGGGAAAGAAACTAAGTCTACTGGAAAAATTAAGAACTTTTAAATCTGTGACTAAAGATCCGGTTAGATTTAACCCCTTAGATCTAATCTGATTCACTTCCATCTGGACTCTGATCTTTAAAGGGAAAAAAGGATGAATTTGTTGAAACCCAGAGGAAATGTGACCAAAGACTGCATGCTTCTACACTGGCACAGCAAAACATCCTTTAGCGTAGCTCCATGGACTCACCTCTCTGGGGTCTTGGAATGGCTGCGATGTCTGTGACTCCTGTGGTGACCTGATAAAGATGCAAACGCTTCCAATTAGATTCGTTTCCCATAAATTGTTGCTAAATGTCTGAATTCAAACATTTAGAACAGCAGCAGATTTAAAACATGAAGCAGATAAAGGTGAACTGCAGTCATTGTTAAAGAAAGTACACCCCGTGTCTGTCTAAGGTAAGAGGATATGAGGTCAGCAGAGAGTGGTGATCCAATCACTGATCATCTACTCCTTTAAACCTGCAGGTTTCTGTTTTCACAACATCAAGGCAGAAAGACCTCAGCAATGAGGGGCGACTTTAAGCAACCAGCCATCTAGAAGCTTCCAAGGTCCAAACTCAGTTTAAATGAGAGACAAATAAACCATAGATGTCCTGCAGAGATGTAGAACTGAAAAGCTCTGATGTGTCAACAAGCTGCCTCATTTCTGGCATTGGGGGCGGGGCTAAACTGAAGGCCTCCTCTGCCTGCAGTTAATTAATGAGAGGCTCCTGTTCAATTGCAAATAGATGTTTTATTTTCATTATATTGTCTTCGTCAGATCTAGGGATTATGACGGAGTATAAGGGCCAGCCTAGAGATTTTTTTTATTTTATTTATAGAATAAAGTCGTAATATAAGAATAAAATCTCAAAAAGATTATGACAATAAAGTCCTAAAATTACAAGAATAAAGTCCTAATATTATGGGAAAAAAGATGTATTTTATGACAACTCTTATAAGAAGCACTTTTTTCCCTAAAATGAGGAAAGTCGAGCATCATGTGAGGTTTGGCGTAGGTTTGACAATTAAGATAATCTTTTAGCACACCAGCATCAAATTGGACAGGATGTACAAGTGGATTCAGGTAGCTTTTTGGTGCTGCTGGTCAGCCGTTATCTGCCAGTCGGAGCTTGAAGCTTTCTTTCTCAAACGGGTTGTGGTATGATGACTTCATTCTCGTCATTTTTCAACTTGATTCGCGTAATGTTACGACTTTATTCTCCTTATATTACAACTTTATTTTCAAAAAAAAAAAAGAAAATATCTAGCTTGGCCCTTATACTGCATCGTAATGAATCTATGTGTGATCCAGTTTATTACAACATAATAATGAACATGTCAGCATCAATGTAAATATAACTGAATTAGCACCGAGGCCAATTTTCATCAATTCTCCAAACATTGGTCTAGCTAGAGGATAAAGTTCATCTCCGGTTCAACCCAACCTCCCTGGATAAGTAGTGGTCGCCGTGAATAGCTAACACAGATAATATAGTAAAACCCTCAGCATTGTTTAGTTTTCTTGGGTTTTAAAAATCTTTCTCTATATAGTGGAGGCTCAACATTTCTGTTTACAGATCCAGCTCAGTCTGTCTGACAGGTGAACCGGGTCATAAGCAGAATGACGACCCAAACCTCTCAGAGTGGAGCTGCAGCGGCCTAGTCAAAGCCCAGACCTCTGCCTCACTGTCCTTCAGAGGACCAACAGTAGAAGCTGCTTCTATGAACTCCTGCATCACCCTCATTATCAGGTTCTGACTGATGTTCTTCCATGACTGAACGGGTCGGCTGGCCTCAGCAGAACCTACCGGGCGATTTGGAGCGGTGCCGCCTGTCTCTGGAGCGGCTGCGGTGCCTCCGGGGGCTCTTGCTGCGATGGCGGTCTCTCCGAGGCGACGGGCTGTTATGGAAACAAAAGAACAGGTTCAGAACGTGAAGCTGCAGGGTTCGGTCCGATGGCAGCAGACAGGAGTCTCACCTTCTCCTCTTCGGAGATCTGCTCCTCCTGCAAGGAAAATAGTTCAGGTCATCTCTGAGATCTGAGATAAGTTCAGCTGTAAATATTCAGACATTGGAGGCGAACACCAACCGTCGGGGAGAGCGGCTGCGTCGGTAACGAGGCGACGGGGAGCGGCGCGGCCGATCGTTGTCACGGTGGCTCCGTCTGTGAGGCTCAGGGCTCGGTAGCCGTTCAAACTGCCAACCAGACAAAAAAATAAAATAAAAAAAGACATCACAATCCTGGAAGGAAAAATCTAAAACGCCTCTTCTTCAAAAGAAGAAGCTGAACTTTCCCAGGACCTGTTGGAATATTTTCATGTTTCCAGGTTTAATGAGGAGCTTAAAAAAGCAAACATCTTTCAAGGACCTAAAAGCATCTGAAGAAGTCAAGGTTTGACCTGACTTCCCCCTGTGACCAGCAGGGGTCACTGTTGGCTTTACAAATAAAAATCATCCCCTGGGGATAGTCAGGCTTTACCTTCTCTTCCTCTTCGTCTTCCTCCTCGCTGCTCTCTACTTCATCCAGGTCCTCCTCCAAGGCGCTGATCCTGGGGTCCAACATCTCCGCTTCCTCCAGAACTTGTCTCTTCTGAGGCACAGAAACCAAACTGGACTGAATTCATCATCAATATGATCATTCAAAAGCCACAAAAACACGACAGAAAGATGTGAAGATTCAGATTTTCCCGAACTCTCAAAGGAACCAGGACTTGGTCAGCAGTTTGGATCCAGATCCACGTTTGATCTAGATCCACCAGCCTTACAGAACGTGGGGCTAACTGACCTGGAGGCGGGGCAGGATGATGTCACAGACTCTCTCTGCGTGAAGAAGCTCATCGATGAACTCGTCCACATGCATCAGCTCGAACTCTGGGGGAGAAACAGATGGAGCCGTCAGGTTCTGATCCGGTGGGTTTGTTTGCCAGGATGGTTCCTGAGCATCTCTAACTGGGCCTGGCAGCATAATAATCGCCTTCAACACTGTTGCTTTATTATTAATATCATTTATGCCACGCTGCTCCTATACCTTAGCTGTAGTTGTAATTTCTGACACGTTCAGGTGGCTGTTTGGCAAAGAATAAACGGGGAAACAACATCCACAGTCAAGGTTAATATAACATATCATATATGTGGTCATTTTATAAATCACCACATTAGAGTGTATATATGTATATATATATTGCTCATTCTTAATAAGCAATATATATTTTTCCTCCTTGTTTGCACCTTCTGTAACTTCTATGCCAATATGTGACGAGTGAATTTCTCCGCTGTGAGATCAAAAAAGCTCATCTAATCTAATCTCTAATCTAGAGGAGAAAGTACAGAAACATCATGGAGCGTGTCTGATATTAAACATCCCACTTCAAAAACTCTGTTAGTATATTTTCCATCCAGCTTAGTAGGACTCAGCTTCTTTCTCCTCTGTAATTGGAATTTACCGTAAGGAAAATACCAGAGAAACTGTCAACATTTCCCAGACAAGCTCTAATTTTATGGGCACTGATTTATATAAAAAAGCATTTTTCTCCCCATGATTTATTTATCTGGATTAATAATTATATTTTTCATAAAAACTAATTTCTATTTTACCTTATTTTTTGTGCAACATTTAAGAATAACAGAATTATTTATTCCCTGTTTTAACAAGATATTATTTCGGTACCTTTTTCTGCTGAAATGTTTATTTAATCAGAAACGCTTGGTTAACAACAAAATGTGAGACTTTTTCTTTAAAACTCTTGAGCAGAATTATTCCTACTAATCAGCACATGTTGACATGTATTAAAACAATAGACCTGAATGTCATTTCTTCTGTGATTACTGTTTGACAAGAAGATTCTGGAAAATAAAAAATAACTTAAAATATTCGCTTAAGTACAAGCAGAATGATGTGGTTGTCGTGAGAAATAAATGCAAACGAAAAGCTGGAAATTAATCTAATTAATTAATTTGGCAAATGGTATAATTGAAAATTAAAATTTCACTTGATAAAAAAAATGTTTACCTATATTTATCTATGATCTGAAAACAGAAAGGCCTTTCAAAGATATGTTTTCACGTAATTAAACATTTTTAAATGAACATAATATCCGATTCTGTTTTGTTTGTTGTTGTACCAATGTGCTTATTGGAGAAGCCTAAACCCCTGACCTTCCATGATACATCTTCTGCTTCCTGTTTTTTATTTTTATGTGTAAACAAAGATATTTCTAAATAAATATATATATATAAATAATAACTCCAGGATTTCCCACTTGTATTCATAGCAGCTTGAAGTTAATAAACCTTTTTTTTTGTAGGTTGTAAAAACTGTAAATACCAGAATATGAAATCAAAGTATCCTTGATGGAGAGATTTAACATTTTACGTCAATGTAAATATTACTATTAATTAGAAACTTTCAATAAAATAATATTTCAGTGCAGTGATCAGAGAATTTTTTTTTTTTTAGAAAAAAAAAAATTGGATTCTGCTGCTTGATGCACATCCACCTCATTGCAAAGTGCTTTGTTCTTAGTTAGGAGGTCGTAAAAAAATAGTTTTCCTCGTTTCCTGCTGAGGAGCTGCAGCTGTGGACCAAACTAAACTCTGCCATGATGATTCAGAAATATTGACTTAATGATTTTAACTTGAGATGTTCAGATCTGATATCAGCAAATGAAAAGAGGAACATCTAAACAGATCCACCTGTATTTAAAATCTCTGATATTGACCAGATTATAGAAACGATCCAACAGTTCATTAACCTATCAGTTGATAACAAACAGGTCAGTCCTTCTCATTCTAACTGCTGCTGACTGTTGCTCTCAGTTTGAGTAAAATTACTTTCCCTAACCTTTCCCAAAGTTCCACATTACAAAAAAGTAACATTATTCAGTTGAACTGATGCTGTCATAATAATAATTCATGGGTTGTTTTTCCAAACTCCATACTGTATCACCCTCAGACTGACCTCCGTTCCTGTTCTGACTCTTGATCTTTCTGTAGTCGTTGTAGAGCGGTTCCAGATACTTGTAGCAGTCCACGGCGGTACCGGTCAGCCTCATGTACATGGCTCCCAACAGACGGACGTATCTAAAGGAAACAGACGAAACCTTCTTAGTTCATCACAGATGTTGTTCTACAGATCTGAAGGATGGAGGCAGGTCAGTGACCAGAACCTCTCATCCCTAATGTGTCTCCTATCTTTCCACAGAGATAAAGGCAGCGCTATCTGTAACCGCCTGGGACATGGAAAGCCAGGTAACCAGTGCGAACCTGGCAAGCCATAAGAATGCACCACTTGGCAGTGTTCTGCGGCACGCATGGCCTCAGTAAATCTGTTCCAACTTTCAGCCCCCCCACCCGAATGTATGTGATGTATTTGGATGAACGGTTTGTACTGAAACTGAATTTTCGACTGCAATGTAAATTGTAGTGTACAATAAAGATTGATTGATTATTGTGATCATCTCTTAGCCTGGTGTCCAATAGATGGCCAGCTACTGCCTTCAAGTCCTTGTGACTGAAGAGAATGAGTCTGAGAGAAGGACAAAACTCACTTAAAATCCTCGTTCTTGATGAACTCTACGATGATGTCTTTCTCCGGCTGGATCTGCAGCATCTTCAGCGTGAGGCAGAGGAATGGGGTGGGCTTGATGTTCCCGCCATAAACTCCTCCCACAAACTTCAGCTCCATGGCTTTGTCCACCACCAGCTCAGCTGCATAACAAAGGAAGCTTAGATTAACGGAGGAACCAACACAAACTAATGATGGGAAGCTGGAGACTGAAAGGAACGACATAGAACCAGAACTAAGCTTTGAATGCTGAAAAAGAAAAACTGACATAGAGGTTTAGATCACAGCTGGGTTCTGGTTTGAATCTTCCAGACATGGGCAAGAAATAATCTCTGGAAATGTTAATTTACCTTTTTTCCTATAATCATCAAAGCCTGGGAATCACTGACATGACATTCAACACATTTTACAGGCTGATAATGACCTCTGATACCTTCCTCAACATGCAGACATCCTACTGAATCCTGATCGTATAACAGACTTTAACTGTTCTGAAAACATCTCTAATCCAACCCAAAGCTGGTCAATGAGGCTGTTTGATCAGAACACCTGAATCTAATGTTGTGCACTTTTAGCAGACTGACCCATCATCCCCTTAACTGCCTTTACTTCCTGTAGCACAACATCTTCAACTGAAGTTGAAAATGTTTAGAATGGATAAAAACTCATTTGGGTTTACCTGGTGATAAGCAGGATATTTAAAAACAATCAAACAGGTTATAAGTTTGTGTTTTCTTAGTATCTAAATAACAAGGTGAAATAAAATGAGCTGCTTTTAAAGTTAATTGCACATTCATGTAAAGTCTGGGACCCTCAAAAGACTAAAATAGGTTTAAACTTGAAGTCAGGATTAATCTTTGCTACAGTTAATAATGTAAACAATGCAGCCTGAATCTGGTAATACTTTATAAATCATATTCATTTAAATATAAAAACTTTGCATTTTAAAAGGTTTCACATAATTTTCCGGCTTGACTTTACAAACATGATCGCAGTGAAACATCCCTGTGGCTGTAAAATGAACTTAGCCTTCAGGAAGCTAGCTCGCTAACACACTGACCGGTCAGGCCGAAACATTCCTCCTTCCAGTATTTGGACTCATAGATTCGAGTCCGGATGATTTTCTCCACCAGGTACTGTGGGTTGGTTCCGTGGATGCTGTTTGCATCTTTAACTGTTCTGTTTGCCATCGGAGGGAAAGTCTGTTAGCGAACAGCGAGGACCGCAAGCTAACAGGAAACACTAGGAAACACTTCCGGGTCATCGTTGGCAAAAAAAACCCCAACAACAATAAGAACGTTTCATATACACTCTGTCCAGCTGGGGGCGCTGTTGCACTGAAAGTGCTCGATTTTAATTGTTTTCTTCAGTCAAGTCCAATAATGGGCTCTATGCACAGCTCCACTACTTCCTGAATTTAAAGCAGCTCCTTTGTTTCCTGTCTTTCATTACTGGACGAACTGATTAATCCAGGTGTGTCTGGCCAGTTACTTAGGTCATACACACCTGGATTAATCAGTTCGTCCAATCATGAAAGACAGGAAACAAAGGAGCTGCTTTAAATTCAGGAAGTAGTGGAGCTGTGCATAGAGCCCATTACGGAAGATGATTAGGGCCACTGAAAAAAAAAAACAAAAAAAAAACGTAACTGATTTTTACATTTAATATGGGGAAAAGGTCAGAATTCTGACTTTTTTTTCTCAGAATTCCGACGTTAATCTCAGAATACTGACCTTTTCTCAGAATTCTGACTTTAATCTCACAATGATGACATTTTTCTCACAATTCTGGTTCTAATCTCAGAATTCTGACTTTAATCTCAGAATTGTGGATCTTAATGTAGATGGGTGCCATGAAGAAAAGGGATTTGGGAGCACTCAGCTTCACTGACAAAGATCAGACCCAAACCCAATATATATATGTCAGAATTCTGAGATCAAAGTCAGAATTCTGACTTTTTTTCATACTATAGAGAAATAAAATTTAAAAATCAGTTAACTTTCTTTTTTTTTTCCAGTGGCCCTAATGTGGCCCTAAATAATTTATTTTAGTCACTCTCAAATTATGATGATAATCTACTCATTTCTAAGGAAATTAAATATTAAAAACATTAATGTTAATTGAAACTATTTTTAATCCTTGCTTATTGTTTGTTATTTTCAAAAGACTAAGTTCAGTGAAGTTTAATTTTTATATATTTTATAGGTATTTGCAACACGTCATAGAATTTATAATCGTCCTTCTCACATATAAAGCCCTAACTAACCGAGCTCCATCTGATATCAGAGATCTGATTGTTCCTTTGCTCTCTGCAGGTTTACTACTGGTTCCTACAATTTCAAAAAGTAGAATGGGAAGCAGATCTTTTAGTTTTCAGCCTCCTTTTAAACATGAAAACTGGCTCAGAGCTCATCTGATTAAGTGTTTCTTTCCCTGACAAAGCCACCATTGGAGCTATTTTACAGTTATTTTTTCTAACAGAATATTTATAGATCTGTGGTTTATGTTCCTTTGTTGTGTGTGCTCCAGTTATCTCTAGTAGGCATACAACCTACTTCTCATTTCCTGAACCAGAGCCATACATGGAGAAGCAGCTTTTAGTTCTTAAGCTCCTCTCATCTGAAATAAATTCCCAGAAAACTATCAAAGCTTTGAAACTCTCTGTTGATTTCTAAAAAATGTCTGTTTAGAGCAAAATTTAACTGTATCTAATCATAATAGTTTATGTTTTCAGCCCAACTTTGGTTTGATATAACCTTTACTTAGAAAATACCTAAAACATGGAAGTAAAATCAAAGATGTAAGTGTAAGCAGGCCAAATTCAATATTAAATTTCACATTAATATAAAAACTCCAAATGAGCCAATTTAAGATGTTGAATATTGTTTATTTTGGTGCAGTCAAGTGAAGCCTCTTTATTTACTGTTCATACATATTTAGCCAGTTCTGCCCAGATTGGATCATTGTTGCTGGTGTCCTATTGGCTTTTGATGTTTCCCTGATTTAATTCATTTCAATTCAAATTAGAAATACTTTAACAATCCTAAAGGGAAATTAAATGCAGTAACTTAGTTTTTTAAAGTAGTTGTGTTTGTGTTGATAGCTGTAGGCAGGAAGGATCTTCTGTAGCATCCTGTCTTGCACCAGATAGAAACCTCTTACTGCAGACCCTGTGTTATTGTTTAAAAATCTTGTTCTTCACTTTCTGAAAAGAGCTGGCTTTCTTAATTAGCATTTTGAGCTTTTTAAAGTCATTAACTCTGATACTGTTACCCCAGCAGATGATGGCAGGATAGATCACACTCTCCACATCAGACTTATAGTAGATATGTAGCATCTTGCTGCAAACGCTGAAGGACATGAGCTTCCTTAGACAGTACAGTCTGCTCTGTCCCCTTTTATAGACGGCCTCACAGTTGTATCTCCCATCTAGTTTGCTGTCAAGGTATTTCTACTCCTCCACCACCTCCACTTCTTCTCCCTTGATGTTAATAGTATTCAACTTGTTCCTGTTTCTTCTTAAATTTACAATCTTTTCTCTTGTTTAGTTGAAATTTAGGATCAGATGATTATTTTCACGCCATGCCACAAAGCGGTTCACCAGCTCTCTGTACTCAGCTTCTTCTCCATGTTTGATGCACCCAATGACTGCAGAGTTATCCCAGTATTTCTGCAGAGGAAAGGACTCTGTCTGGTTCTGGAAGTCAGAGGTGTACAGAATAAAAAGGAACAGTGAGTACTGTCGCCTGTGGTGATCCTGTGCTGCTGACTACTTGATTAGAAAGTTGACCTTTCAGTGTAAAACATACGGGTATGTTTTTCAGATAGTCTCTGATCCAGGCAGTTGTTGGTTTCTGACAAAGTATGTTGGACTGAATTGTTTTAATTGTACATGAGAAATCAAAGAACATGATCCTCACAGTGCTGTCTGCCTTGTTTAAATGACAGTAGGTTTGCTGAAGCAGGTGTATGACGGAATCATCAGCTCCACGGCGATAAGAAAACTGCAGGGAGGTCATGATAGCTGCTTGTTTGCTTGCTGAGGTGAACCAGCCTAATTCTAGAGGTTATGTGATTAAACTCTCAAACTACCAAACTAAAAGAGCATTATATATCAAATTCAAATGAAAAAAAATAAAAAATTCAACATTTAAAACATATGGATAGTATAATTTCTCTCTCCATTGCCCACCATCTCATAAGTCATAATTTGTCTGATGACTTGTGACATGAGCCACATGGCTTCAGTGACAAATGTGATGTGGAATGTCTACATTTCATATTTCTGGATTTAGTCATGGTTTTGTGCCTTACAAGAATGATTACAAATTACTGTAGATTGAATTTAAGCACAAGTTGTTCTACCCATGAGGGCGAGTGAGTTTGATCCAGAAAATGCATTGCTTTAAAATGCATTTCTTGTATCATTAGAGATTTTTTATCTGAAAAAAAAAGGAATGTTTTTATGTTTTCTAGGGCCCTGATTAGGGAGTGGAACTCATTCGGTAAAGAGCGGGCTGCAGTAGTTTGTTTGCTATTTTAACATCCGGAAACATTCTGTTTCTGAATGTTAATATAGCTCAGCTATGAAACTATACGATCTATTCTGTATCACTTAAAACTGATTTAAAAAAAAACCCATTATGAAACAAAACATTTTTAATACAAAATCTAATATATTTTTTGGAGGAATCCCTATAATGACATATCTTCAGTTTCATATACTCTTAAATCTTGCCTCAGTAATAGCAAAACACAAATGCAATAAACATGAAAATGCCTCTATGAAATATCTGCTTGCGCAGCAACCTGTACTGCAGGGACACAGGGGTTAATTAAGCAAACAGGAAATTAGCTTTAATATGTGCTAGGTAGGGAAATCTTGCAACAGGATGCTGAAGGTTAGATCGTTTTTATGATTGTAAATTCTGCAGACTCAAGGATATGTAATGAAATTACCTCCACTGCATCTACAGGACAACACATCCCTATGAAGCCAAATGATTCTGTATGACACACAGATGTTGCAACAGCAGTGGAGTTTAAAGTTTTCTACATGACTTTGTATCTCTTAGATTATCTAATGTTTCAGTTTCCACCGCAGCATAGTCATTGGGTATACTATGAAGACAAAATGTAGATTCTGTGGCCTGAAAATGTTTTCTGACTAATGGAACAAATGTTTTATTACTGTATTCTAACTCTTAAGATCACCTTTTTTTCTTTTTCTATATCTTTCTCAATAATTTCATTTTTACTCATTATGCAGCCTACACAAAAGAAAAATGTCATTTGTTTTCCCCTTTGCTGTCGGTAGCCACCCTGGTCTCTGCTATAGTGTTAATTTTGTTATTCTGACTTGTTTGCTTTGTAGTGTTTTTACTTTTTTTCATGTGTATCTAACAATTATTCACTCTGGTAGATTAAGGTTTGAAATAATATTTTATTGAAACATTTTTTTTCTCACTGGAAATAATACAAATGGTATAAAGGGGTCAGACAGAGGTCTTGACTTCAGCTTGTCAGGAAATCTGTAGAGGAAGCAAAAGAATAGAGTGAAGTCAAGGTGAGTATTCAACAAAGACTCTGACCCGGTTCGTTCACATTTCTACTATTGAGATGACAGCAGAGGTGCAGCTACACATTTTCTGCAAAGATGAAAAGCATAAACCTCCTCCCTCCCATCTTCAATTTTTGCAGAGCGTCAAAAGAGCTGCAGCTGTCTTGTTTGGTGCCTGCATTGCCTCAGACTGTACATATATTAAGAGTTGTGAGAATTATGGAGGAAATCATTTGGAAAGCAATTCAATTCATCTATAACAGTTCTCACACACCATGATACCACCAGAGCTCAGACAACCATGATGTATTTACCATGCTTCTCAAGGGCAACAGGTTGATCAGTTTCAGTCAGTACAGAACACCCAGATTAAACAACAGCTATGGAAATGTCAAGACTGCCTAATTCTGGTTAATTTCCTCTTCCATACATAAAAACTAGCCACTTTCTGCACAGTTTTTTTTTTTTTTGGTGCATTCAAAGTTACCACAAATCTTGCTGTTGCATACCTTTCACTAATCAAATTGTCTTGCACATAACTTTTCCGTACATCCTTCAATCCATCCATTTTATGCACGCTTTATCCCTGTTGGGGTCGCGGGGTGCTGGTGCCTATCTCTAGCTGTCCACTAGTACTTTTCTGTACATATAAAAAGCACATTTTTTCGTTTGCTGCTACATTCCTTACC